CTCATTAAAGCAGACAGAACTCAAATTTCCAGGCCTTATAAATGGCTGAAATAAGGACATTCTTTTTGTGTCAGCTCAAGCTTGGTTAATCTCCATATCCAATCTAACTCTGGGGTGAAAGAGAGGAACACATTTGTTGCTTTGGGACTGTTGCTCTATTTTTTTTTTTTTTTTTTAATCTGCTGGCTGACCTTCCCTATGTAAGTGCACCGGCATTTGTAACATTCAGTTTAAACAGAAAAGCTCTTTCGTCTTTGTACCCTGGCCTTGATCTCTCGTCATTATGGTCTGGATGCCTGCTAATCACTAATGATCCTGTGGACCTTTTATATAATACTGAGGTATTAGAACTGAACTCGTATAAAAATTCCTACTCAGCTAATTACATTCTTTCTGCTTTTCTTGGTTTTCCATATAGTCTCAGCTGGAGTTGAATCTGAACTAGTCCCTCAGATTTTAAATTGTTTGCTGGTGGTTTTTGGAAAGCACTTATAAACTCTTCCCTCAAATGAATTCAACTAATTATAATTCAAAAGCCCCATGACCTAGCTCTTACCCTCTCTCTCTTTCTCTTTTCCTTATCTTTCTATTCCCTTTCCCATGTTCTGGTCTTGAACATCATGTTTAAATGCACTGGGTAAGGAGTTTCATGATTCTGTATTTTGATAGTATATTGTTAACTTACAGGAGTATACAGTGGTTCTAGGACACATCTACTTTGGGGTCTATGTTCACAACCAACTACTAAAAATGACAAGGGTTTCAACCCAAAAGTTACATTTAACCTATAGTCTAAGGATCGCTTAATTTTTTTGTTAATGGTAAATGCCTTGCTCACAAAATAGAATACAGGTGAAATTTGGTTTCTTAACTGAGTAAGATTATTTTATATTTCAAGGAGTATGGAGCACCAATTCTGTAGAATTAAATAGGGCAATCCTGATTTTAGCCTGACATCTTGAATTTTTCCTAGTCATTTCCACATTCTAGAACTTAACAGCTTTTGTAATCATAGCAGCAAAACTGAACTCTCATAAAATTCAGATCAACCAAATTCTCAACACAACTTTCTGAATATGGCTGTATACACTGTACTATAAGTAACTGTTAAATTAAAAATTTGTTGACGATCGAAGAGAATGTATAGCTCCAAATGAGCATTTTTCTTAGCAGTTACTTTTATTCCAATGGTGCTGCCATTATTCAAACTATGTTTACATAATGTCTTTAGAACTAGTTTAAAAGCTGTTAAAGAAAGCCATCTAATTGTCTTTCTGATTGTTTTGACCCCAAATTATATTATCCGGACTTGATCACCCCCCCCCCTTACTTTTCAGGGCATTGAAGGTCTTTTTTTTTTTTTTTTTTTTAGATTTTATCTATTTATTTGACAGAGAGAAAGAGCACATGTCCAAGCATAAGCAGGGGGAGATGCAGAAGGAGAGGGAGAAGCAGGCTCCCCACTAAGCAAGGACCCTCAATGCAGGACTCAGTCCCAGGACCCTGGGATCATGACCCAAGCAGCAGGCAGATCCTTAACCAACTGAGCCACCCAGGCACCCTGGGTACTGAAGGTCTTTAAAGGAAGATGACTTACCACTTCCTAGGCTTGTTAACAAGATGTGCTGTGAGTTTTGAAAAAAGTGACTAATGAAGAGCTCCAAGATAGATTCGATTAATAGCAGCAATGAACACATCATTAGAATAAATGACAGACTTTCAAGATGACTAGCTAGATAAAAACACACTAAAATATATATGTAAGTCCTGGTATGTTTGACTATATCAATTTATATTCATATCTTGGTTACATAGTTTCAGCCTTACAGCACATTTTTTAGAGTTAAAGATAAAATTATTCTTTTTTTTTTAAGATCTTATTTATTTATTTGACAGAGAGAGATCACAAGTAGGCAGAGAGGCAGGCAGAAAGAGAGGGGGAAGCGGGCTACCGAGCAGAGAGCCAGATGCGGGGCTCAATCCCAGGACCCTGGGATCATGACCTGAGCCGAAGGTAGAGGCTTTAACCCACTGAGCCACCCAAGTGCCCCAAAGATAAAATTATTCTTAACATCTTCTATTACTGTACTTCACAAAATTTTACATTCTTTAGGTGCATCTTACATATTTCATACAAAAAATAGTCTCGATATTCAAGGATCTAGGCATTGTTCAAAACTATTTCAAGTGTTATCCACAAGAACATTAAAACTACAAATAATTGGGATAAACATATTGGGTATTTTTCTATTTCTATTAAATCAAGGAAAATGAATTTTTTATAAGATTTTATTTATTATGAGAGACAGCATGAGGGAACACAAGCAGGGAGAGTGGGAGGGGAGGGAGAAGCAGGCTTCCCATTGAGCAAGGAGCCCAATGTGGGGCTCAATCCCAGGACCTTGGGATCATGACCTGAGCCAAAGCGAGCCACCCAGGTGTCCCATGAAAATGAATTTTAACCAGGTGTGCTTGTGACTTGTGACTACTTGAGATATTTTTTGTTTGCTTGACTTAACTGTAGGCAGTTCTTTCTTTAGGTTGTAGGGAAAGGGGTGTGTGGTTTTGATATTTTTTTAAAGATTTTATTTATTTATTTGACAGACAGACAGAGAGATCACAAGTAGACAGAGAAGCAGGCAGAGAGAGAGGGAAGCAGGCTCCCTGCTGAGCAGAGAGCCCGATTTGGGGCTTGATCTCAGGACCCTGAGCCCAAGGCAGAGGCTTAACCCAAAGAGCCACCCAGTTGCCCCTGTGGTTTTGATTTTTACTAAAAATATAAGGACTTCATTCACATAAAACCAGTCAGTCCAGCACACCATGTAAGGAGCCAGACCTTTTAGGGAAAACTATACAGTCTAAAATAATTAAAAAGAGTATCATAAGCCCATTCAATGATGCAAATCCTTTAAACTTTGTTTTTAAAGTCTTAAGGAGAAAAAACAAAACAAAGCACATGTGGGAATAGGGCACAAGCTGGAGAAAACTCTTAACTTCTAATTTTTCCTTGATTTACTACTTGAGAGTAATCAGTCCTATTTTTCTTTTGTATACATGAAAGGCCATACTTCTTAACTCTTTCATATACTCCTTGAATTTCTTGGAGCCAAGAGGAGATTCACATAGCCTAGTTACACTTCAACAATTAAGTATTAGTTGCCTATGGGCATCCTGTTCAATGGCTAAGGGAAATGGAGGACCTATAACAAATAATGAATAAATACTTATTGAATTAATGAATGAAGGAAAAGAAAATCATATCTTGGACAAACACATGTGGAGTCCACTGTAAAAGTGACTCCTACAGGATTTGGTCCATGTAAATACAGTTTACATTATATAGTATCAAGCCTAAAGCATTTGGTTAGATTTGGATCACTTTTAGATTTCAGAATTCATGCCGTATTCTGGACCCTAACAATACTTTTGAACCTAATCACTTATTTTAAGTGACTCCTTATATAATCAGTCTTTAATACCCAAGAGTAATACCCAAGTAGTCACCAAGACTGAAATGTTTACCCGGCTTCCATACCTGAAATAAACTGATGAATTCACACACCCAGCACTTATGCTAAAAACATACAGTCTTTCATTTAAGCTAGCAGATGATTTTCTTTCACAACAAAGGTATAAACACAACTAGTTTCCTCACTTTTCCAATCATCCCAGTTTTAGAAGATGTTTAGATTCCTAAATAGGGCCTTCTCACTGACTATTTGGTAGGACAAAACACCTTTGTTCCTTGGTTTATATGATAGAATGGGAATAAGACAAGGCCCTCCTCCTTCCTGGGGGGACTTCTGTGAGTATATTGATAAATACCTACAAAAATGATAAATGCTACTACCTCTTTCAGCATTTTGAAAGATGTCAACCAAATACAAAATATTTTTGGTGTGTGAATTAAAATGCCTCTTACTGATGGTCTCAGAGGTTTCCTGATAAGAGAGCGTGTCAAAAACTGGCTTATATATTATCCGTCCTCCAGAACGCACTGACATCACACTTCATAATAGCTTGGTATGATGACTGCTGTCAAAATCGCCTGCATGGAAACATCCGTGCCCTAGATTGACATAATGTATTAGCGTGACAGAGGACTAAACAACTAAGAACGCCGCGCGAAGCCCCGACTCTGAGCGCTTGGAATAGAGGGGTGTGTTATGTGTGAGCTGAAGGGCCTCGACCCTTCTTATGTTTTAACTTCGGAGGAGCATGAAAGTTGCCAGGGGCATCCTGTGGGCGGGGAGGGGAGCCCAGAAACGCAAATGCCTGAGACAGGAGTAGGAAACTCCCCTCCACCCCCACCCCAAATTCGAAACCCATCCAGGGCTGGGGCTTTGGGTCTCTCTTTTTCATGACCGCCACACAACGGCATACACTTTGCTGGGAAATGAAAACAAGATGAGGGTCTGGGGGAGCGACACGCTCCAGATCCGGCTGAGGGGCGGAGAGGATCCGGTCACCTAGGCTTTCCGGCCGCCGCTCTCGCCGCGTCCCCCGGGGCGCGACCTGCCGCCGGAGCTCCAGACGTGGAGAATGGGAGACCCCAGCACGGCCTCGGGGCACCAACAGGACGGACCCGCGCTCTACTTGCCCTTCCCTGGGGTTTGCGGTGGGCAAGGCCCACCCACCCTCCACGCCAAGCCTGGGTCTGTCACAAGCCCTCCTCCCCAACTGCGGCGTGAGAAGCAGAGGTACCCGAGCCGCGGACCCCAACTGCACACAAAGCCCCCAACGGGGCCGCAGCGACTCCAAGCCTCGCTAATCCCGCTCCGGGTGCTCAGAGAGCAGCGTCCCGCGCTACCAGGTCTCCCCCTACCCCCGCCCGGGGAAGCCCGGCTGAGGGGAAGCGACAAGCCAGAGGAGAAGGGGGAAGCCCTGCGCATGTGAGCCCCCCGGCCCCAAGCAGGGCCCTCGGCCCGGGGGACACTCTCACCTCAAAAGAACAGGCGCTGCTGCCTGCGCGGGGAGGAGAGCGGGTGGGGAATACTTACACCGGGTTCGGGCCGCACAGGGACCTCGTCGGGAAGGACGCGCGGGTTGGAGAGCGGAATCCTAGCGGCTTGCGGCCGCACCGCCGCCTCAGAAGGGAGGCCTCTACTGTCCGGCCTCGGACCTGCAGCTGCCGGGCGCGCGCGCGCGCGAGCCACAGCCAGCTCCGCCCCATCCCGCCGGCCCCGCCCCGCCGGCCTCCTCCTCCTCCCACTCCCACCCCTCCTCTCCGCCCCCGGGTGCGATCTGCGCTCTCCCGGAGACGTACGCGAAGCGACATGGAAAACCTTCCACCAAAATGAGCTGTGATATCCTTTTGATGGCTATAATTTATTCCAAATCGTCCCTGGACTGAAACGATCAATTAGCAGCCCGAAACGCACTGTGAAGTAAATTGTCACACTCTCTATTACAGGATGGTTATCATATATTTATAAGGTGTGTTTTCTGCAATCAGAACCAACAAGGTGTTGAGCGATCAGTCATAAACGCACTTCTTCAAAAAGAGGGGAGAGAAGCTCTAGCATTGTGTGGCGAGGAAGAAAATCTTATGACAGTTATTACCTCTCCCACCCTCTGCCCGCGGTGATATTTCCTCTTGGCATCTAGGAAGTGCAGTGAAGCAAAAGTCCTGCACCCACTCTCCAGGCCACTCGTGTGACCCTGGGAATAGGCTTCCTGTGAACAACAGAGGGCCCCAAGAGCAGTGGTTTCCTTAGAGATTAGGCATAAGAATCACTCTTTCTCCGTCTCTGTTTTTACTCTGTTTTTAGTCTCATCCACTCTCATCTTACTCTTCCCTTCTAAGCTTCTAGCAGAATGTATGGATTCTATACTTAATCTTAAGTGCCTTTTCTTTCTCTCTCTGATATTTAGGTGTTATGAACTGTAGAGATTATGCCATGGTGATACAAAGTTTACCCACAGTGACAACTCCTCATTCTAAATTGTAATCTCTCTGCCAGAACGCACAAATTCTGAGAAAGTCATAAGATATTCTCCTTCAGTCTCATAGACTGTCCTGACCAAGCTATGGAGATGTTATTTTCCTTATAGTCATCCTTAATGACTGTACATGGATATACATCCAGAACTTCTGAGTTTCCTGTAACAAGCTACCATCATATTATCATTCACCAACCACCTATCATTTTTTAGAAGGATTCTGGTTTGTATTCAGTTTTTCTTTTTGCCTGAAAACCCTAACTCTAAAGCCCAACCTACTCAATTATTGTGAGAAAAATTTAGCAGCCAGAAGTATGCCTCTGTGGGCAATAAAGTGACATGTATGAAGAGTGAGTCACAAGGTTGAGTAATCGCTCAACCTTGTATTTCCACATTCTTCTTAGGTTAACTGTCCCCATGATTTCTGAATGGCCAGGCTTGCCTGCAATGCTAACCTCTGAAGAATGGACAGAAAGGAAATCTGGTTGGGCATTTGAGTTGTAAAGACAGCTGTTGCCACTGGGTTCTCCCAGCATAGGTGGAGCAAGATGCTCCTCTCTTAGAAAGCAAAGGAGGGGTGCCTGGGTGGCTCAGTGGGTTAAAGCCTCTGCCTCTGGCTTGGGTCATGATCTCGGGGTCCTGGGATGGAGCCCCACATCGTGCTGTCTGCTCAGCAGGGAGCCTGCTTCCTCCTCTCTCTCTCTGCCTACTTGTGATCTCTGTCTGTCAAATAAAAAAAGAGCCAGACCCAGCACCTTCACTTTGTAGCTTCTAAAGTCACTGATTTAATTTTCATTTAATAGCTAATATTTATTGAGCACCTACTCTGTGCCAGGCATTGTGCTTTAAATTATATGTATTATCTTATTTAATCCAATCAACAAACTTATGGGGGAAATTTCCTCATTTTGCCAATAAGAAAACTGAGATTTGGCAAACTTAAGTAACTTCTCCAAGGACATACTTCTAGTAAGTGATGATCTCAAACCCAGGTCAGTCTCCAGCACCCATGCTCTTCACCCCAATAACATCATACCTCAAAAATTAAAGATTTTGACTTAAGATTTTCCACCAAAAATATTTTACAGGAGCTGAGGACAAAATGAAAGTGGTGAATTCTGGGAGAAGAATGAAAGAACAGCTGCTTGCAAAGGAAAGACGCAATAGATACATATACCCTGACTGGATAGGTTACCCCTTTTTCTATTCTATCCTTCCTACATCCCATGATTTCTTTTTCAGAGTTATCACCTGCCATCTGGTGTCTAGCCAAAGAGACCTTACCCAAGGTCAGTGAGGACTCCTAGGCTTGGGATGGGGGTGGGGGGGTAATGGAGATGAACATACCCCAGAAGAATCACAGCACCATGGGGAGGAGACCTAAGTGGGAGCCAGAGTTGGCCAGAGGACTTGTCCCAGATCCCCAGCTCTGAGAATGAAATGTTGCTTCCTAATGGACTTTAAATTACCAACATCGCTAAACTCTCTCTTAATAGACTTATAAAGATCTGCTTGCTACCTTTTTCCCCCTTCATGTAGAATTTGTAATCAAGAGCCCAATTTTGTCATTTGGAAATACTAATTATCTAATCACGCCATGATGCATAACGTACTTGTCTGCCCAATTAGCTAGGACAATTATTAAAATTCAGAGGCCTAATTATGTCTCAATTTAATGCTGGCAAACTTGCATACAGAGCAGTAATTAAAATCCTCTCTTTCCCTCTGCCTTTAGGGCAGGGGATGATTAGGCCCTGTCAGGGGGTGTACTGAACCAAACCAGTGAAGCGTATTGTGCAACATGACCCTGCATTGTTAAGTGTGTCAACATATTAACCTGAATTCCCTTCAGCCCCTACATAATCACATTTGGTGGAGGAATAAAGGAGCTAAAACATGAAGCATTTTATTAAAAAAACATAAATTCTTTTTAATTAATGCTATGAGAGTTCTGATGAATTTCATGCTTCCAAGTGCTGGAAGACATAAGACTGGTTCATCTAATTACTAGCAAATTTGCTCTTGTTAAAACTACTTTTTTTTTTACTCATTTAAAGAAACTGATTTTTTTTTCATGGTATAATAAAAAAAAGCCTAGCTAGTTGGCTTCCAGTAATACAGTTGATTACCAGTTTTGTTTGATGATAGAACACAAGTGAATGTTGACTTCCAAAAGAATCAAACCCAAGACTGGAGGGATTTTTAAAAAGGCTAGAATTTAATACTTGAAAGATGTTAATAAAAATGAAACATTAAAAATCATAATATTGAAACAAATTCAAAATATTTATCTTTTGAGCTTAAAAGTTTGATGTCTGAAATAAAACCAGCATGAGGAGACCAGAACACTGCACAAATTCCCATTGCTTCAGAAATCCTGTAGCACGCAGGAAGTTGACAGTGTGTGTCTACTCTGCTAGCATCTCAATCCTCTTCTCTATGTACTAAGGAGAGCCACCAAACCCAGTAAGACTTCAGAGCTGTCTTCTAAATTTTGGCTTTCACTCATGATGGAATATGTGATATATTATTCATGTGTCCAACTAAAAAATGAGAGCATTCTGTCAAGACCAAAAATGAATTATTCTGGAAAAAGGAGGACTTCTTTCCATTGCTTCTAAACTTCTTGCTGCATGGATAGCTTCTAGAGAGCAAAAGACACAAGAACACACACACATATACAGTCACTTGGTTGGACAGAGATTACTCTCAATTGATTTCATTTTGAATCTCATGACAACCTTGTGACACAGTAGGTAAGGCAAGCCAGTCTCCATTTTATTAATTTGGGGGCACTTATTAGTACTTATTGAAGCTGACCACTCTATACCCCAAGGTAGGGCAAGTAGAACTCTGTTCCCCTTGCTTGCTGTTCATTGCCTCACATAAGGGACTGTGAATGAGACACCAATGCAGAGATTTTTGATTTAGTAAAATATCTCAAGTTGAGATCAAAGTAGAGATAGTATGATAAATAATGATGGAACAAGGGAGTCTATATATCAACACTGCAGGACCTTCTGTCCTTCAGTCAATACTTACTCGCAACAGGTTTAGTCATATCCGATTATATTTGGTGACTTTGGTCCATTTATGTCCTCTTTTAAATTTTTATATTTTTATATATTTTATATGTATGATTACATCTGAGTTGGTGGTAGTAAAAGCAGAGTTCCTTCCTCCTACTCTTACTCTGGGTACAACGTGGGATAGAAGATGGTGTTTAGGGAAAACTCTGGCTGGTACAGGCCCTCTTACTAACAAAGACAGTGACCACAGGACAGTCTCTACAGGAGATGGTTGGCTGGAGGAGGTACGACAGGCCCTTTGGCATTTGTGGTATAAAACGAGGGGGTAGGCCCTCCCCCAAGCCTCCCACAGAGTGTGTGTGCCCCATGTCTTGAAAATGGCCTTGCTCTGAGTCTCTTTGGATGGTGAACTAAAGTGCAAATCTGTGTTCTGACTTGTTCCTGTGGCTGTCAGCATGTTTTCCTCTTGTCAGCAGCAATTGACTGGTCAGGCTCACCCCTGTACAGCAATTGTAACAGCTCATTGACAGGCTAGTGACCCAGCTGGACCTGATAATGGAAAACTATTGATTTTTGTAGGCTCCACGAATCTAAAATGAACGACCGATGTAATGTCATCAATTGTCTCGGACTCTGATAACCCAAGGGAAAAAGTTTCAGGGATTGCTTGTATTTCCTGACAATAGTGTTTCAAAATCTCACCAGATATATGTAAGAAGCACATTTCCTGGGTGTTTTCTGTAAACGACCCCAATTAGGTAGGGCTTCAATACCTAGCTTTGCATGTTAAATGAAGTGGGAGTTAGCATTGCCAAATTAGAACCTGATAAGCCTATTTAGATATTTGAGGAGAGGCACTTTGTAAAGGAAATGTTTAAAATGTTTATTATAAAAGAAGCTTACAGAAAAGAAAAAAAAAAGATTGGGATTAAACCAAAATATTTGACTCTCAAAGATCTTAATAGACGAAATTATTTTTTAAAAAGGTTTTATTTATTTGACAGAGAGTGAGTGAGTGAGAGCGGGAACACAAGCAGGAATAGTGGGAGAGTGAGAAGCAGGCCTCCTGCGGTTCAGGGAGCCAGATGCAGGGCTCCATCCCAGGACCCTGGGATCATGATCCAAAGCG